TGCTGCATGGTTTGTGAATTGCCCCCTCCCCATATGCCTACTATCTAATAGAAAAAAACTGTCCAACTACTGCCTTAAATTGATGTTTTTATAGATGACAACAAAAATACTATTTCTATTCTGGAATTTGGAATCCATCATTAAACAACTCAGCATCTGAAATGAAGCCAAAACTTTTTTACAGTTTATTAATACAATTTTATACCCCCATTATCATCAATGTACAAAACTATAAAAGCAGCCATACAATTAAAAAAAAATGTATCCCTCAATCCAAAGTAATTTCCTTCTTTCTTTATAAAATATATCAAAGAAAAAAGAGGCAGTTCAACTGCCAAGGTTTGGGAGGACAATGCAATGAAAATATCTGGACAGACTTACAACATGTCTGTTCCAGAAAGGTCCCGCACCTCTTTGGGAGAAAAGTGTTGCAAAAAACCGGTATCAAGCCAGTGAACCATACGTTATCCAAAAAATACCCCTTGACCTCTGATCCCTGACTCTCTCCGCGCCTCTTCGAATAAAAATTCCAGTTTTTAGGCATAGAAAATATAAAAACAAAAATAAAAATGCAAAAATAAGTCGTGAAAATCTAGGATTTTAACGTTTCGGGTAACGTTAAAAGGGGTGTTTTCTCGCCCCTCCCCCCCAAAAAAGAATGCCTCAAACTTTTAGGAATCTCAAAACGGTTCAAGAGGGCATTTTACTACACGCCCACCCAGTCACCAAGAGCGGGGTAGAGGCAACCGAGGCCGCAGCGACTTCCTTTGGAGCCCAAAGGCCTCTCGAAGGGACATCAAGTAGGCCACTGTTCGGGCCCTCTCGTCGCTATGGAAACGGACGGGACGGGTGTGATAGTACGCAGTGAGGTCACAAGGGGAGGGAACGAGACACGTAGGCGCGAGATGAAGGCGTAATCCGCGGCGGCCACTCGCGGGACTCGAGGAGCGAAAGGGGCCAGAAGGCGTGCGAGGTCGCTCTCCCAGGGTCCAGCCGCCGCCTAGAACCGTGGGCGCAAAAGAGGGAGGAAAAGCGCGGCAGCTCGCTTGAGGGATTGAAGGGTGAAGCGCGCGCGCCTCCTTGGGGCGCGAAAAAGAGACCGCGACTCGCCGGGGAACCAAGCCGGGACAGGCAGCTGAAGAGGCGTGGAGCCGGGAGAGGGTAGGGGGGGAAGACCCACGCAAGCCGATTGGGTAGCCGGCATTTAGAACAACTCCCACCAATCAGGGCTGTCGGAGGAAAAAAAAGTTTGCCAGCCCGGGGGAGGTGTGCTTTTTGTAGCCTCCCCTCCAATCGGAGCAGCGGCAGTCGCGGCTGAAGCCGGAGCAGCGCGCCAATCGTGGGCCAGCCAGTACTAGAGAGCGCGGAGTCGGGGATGTCCTACAAGCCTATCGCGCCTGCCCCCACCAGCTCAGGAGCCGCCGGCACCAGCAGCAGCAGCAGTAGCGCCAGTCCCGCCCCCGGAGCCCCGCCGGTCGGTAAGAGCCCCCGCCTGCTCGCCCGCCTGCTCTCCTCCCGCGCCCGAGCAGGGCTGGCCGGCTGGAAGCCGAACGGGGCAGAAGGCTACACGGCAGAGTCGCCTGGGGTCAGTGGCCGGCCCTAGAGGGTTGCCTCACCTACCCCACCCCCCCCGCCCTTTCCCTGGCAGGTTTTTCCTGGGCCTTCCAGAGCAGCTGGATAAGACCGAGGGCTCGGGCGAGGCCGATCAGAACAAGAGAGAAAGCCGGGTTGCGTTAGAATAAGAAACAAAATGAATGTATACTTTAAACAAAAGAGGGGGACCTAAGGCGAATAATACGTATATTATTGTATTATATTATTATATATATGTGGGTGGCTTATCACACTGATTACTTTAAGGTAAGAAAGGGCTGCTGGTTAAAAAGAAAAGCGAACCGGCCCAGAAAAGTGAAAAGTTTTAACTTCTGGATGGCAAAAGCTTCTGGATGGCAAAAGGGGGAAATAAACAGAAAGGATAGTCTGCATATTTACAGAGATTTCTTGATTATATGAAGAATTGCAGTTCTAAGAGAGAGCCCCATTAAAGTCGGTTGGATTTCTGTTTGAGCAATATAGGGTTGCATAATAATCAGGTGAATCACGTTTTGCTAGATTAGCAATATACTAGAGTTGAATAGAAAAATAAGCATAAAGGAAGAAAAGTTTCAATTTTACTTATAACTCTGGCTAATTTGAACACAGCATAGCAAGTGGCACTGGTAGGAAGAAGCAGTTTCATATATCTAAGAAATGGAACTGGATCCTGGGCTTTGCATTTCTTGTCAGTTTTTCTGTAAAGAGTATTCTGACTGGGTGTTCCCTAGGATCTGGCTACCATATTTAGGAACGGAAATTACCTTTTTCCTTGTACACAGACTACTAACTCTGCTCTTTGTATATATCTTGGCTTGGTTACAGAAAGTTCCTGGAGGTATTAGCTGTGCTAATACCCTCCACCATGTACTTATGCTTCTTTTGGCATACTTGAGTCTATTATATAGTTTTGAAGATAAGTACTGGAAAGAATGTATGCTTGAAAAAGATTGCGATTGACTTCCTGATTGTATATTTACAGGATGTTAATTATTCATAAATAGTTGTGTGTAAACTAGAGGACAGCAGAGGAAAAGTTTTATAGTGTAGAAGTATGTTCTTTGCATAAAGGACATTCAGATTTCGGGCCATGATATTTCGGGCCAGATAAAAATTAATACAAAAAATTAGAACGAAAAAAAATTAGAAAAGAAACAAGAATGTAACAAAGATTATATATATATATATATATATATATACACACACACACACACACACACACACACACATACACATACATATACATTGTTTCTTTTCATATTAATAAGTCAAATTTAGTTCTTTAATTGTAATCTAGTCCCTTTTAGTTCCCTCTAGTGTATAGAGTATAACCTTCAAGTCCTGTCAAATCATTTTTCAAACAAAAACATTTTTCCGTAGGAACACTTCTTACAATTAATTTCAAAATTTTATTTCAAATTTATCTGGACCCTTATGTTGTTTGTAACTTTCCAAAATCAAAGTTCTAATCACCCATTTAATGTTTCTTCCAATATTTTTAAGTCTTTAAATTTGTATTTAAATCTTATTTTGCTAGGGATTAAAAGAAATTCACCTAGTGTTGTAAAATTCAAAGATTCTTAATAGCTGAAAAGCACTTAACAAGAAATTTCTGAAAAGTAATTAGAGAAGGAATATGAAAACCCAGTGTCATAAAAGTGCAGATCATGGTTTGAGCAAAGTTGGCTTTCCCTTGATTCCCAGGACTGGAAACTGCTGTCTTGCATTCTTCTTATGAGGAGCAAACTATCTGGAGCAATTGTGGGTGATCTCAGGTCCTCTCCTTGTCCAGAAAGGAATGACAAAATGCTGGTTTTCTCACTGTTACTTCATTCTTCTAGTAGAGCAGACTTTTTTCCATGGAGGTTCTCTTGAGTTAGATTTTAGATAGCAAATTGAATTATCAGCTACATCATGGACAATTATGGACAGCCAGAATAATACTGTTGGATTTGATTTATCTATCATTTAAACTTCATGTATTCCAGTCCATGCAGAGGGTTATTAACTGAATTTCCAACATGCATGTATTAGATATCTGCAGAGCACTAATAGTTTTTAAAGAAAAGAATCAGCAGACTTTTACTTTATAAAATCTTCCTTTTCTAGTTCTCATATTTTCTTCAGTTCAGGGAAGTTAATTGCATGTCTGTAATTACTGTGCTGATGTGGCTGTATAAAAAGCTTGTGATTTAAAATGCTAGACACTTGGTAGAAAACACATTGCCTTTATGCTAATCAGAAGTCTACGGACGCCATCATTATTAGTTAGTGTTAAAAGAAAATGATGTATGATTTGTATAATAATTTTGAAAGGACATTTCCTGTGGAAGAAATCTGTACTACAATAGTTTGCTTCACTGTGCAGTAACCGTAGGTGAATCATTTGCACAATTAAAAAAACAACTACAGTTAAGTGAAGTGGGACAGAAAAAATAGCCAAATTGTATATAATCTTGGTAGGGGCCAACCTCAAGTAGTTATTCTTCTGGACTCCTCTGAACAAAGTAATTGGATTGCTTTCATAGTCCCTTACTATCTACCACAAATTAATTCCAAATGATTCATACTCTAAAAACCTATCCTTTTAGTGGCATAATAATATCCATTTTTCTCAATTAAGGACTTTGTATTTTCAAGTTTTCTATTTTTAGAAACTTTTCCTGAGTTGAATAGTTTTAGTAGACTATAATGTAATATAGGAATGATGAGTAGTGTACCATTTATGTGTACATGTGTACATTTGTACTATTTACTTTTCAAGTGTCTATAATTTTATAATAAAAATTGCAGGATGACTCATAAAATACTGAAATTATGATCTACTTTTAGAGTGTCAGGCTCACATGGTTAGGATGAGAAAAGCAAGATGAAGTTGACAGCCAAGAATAATGGCTGAGTTCAGATCATTATAGGACGGCAAGTTCTCAGTAAAAACCCATAAAATTATGCTTTATGTTATATATTGGGCTGCCGGAAGTTGAGTTAAAACCCACAAGCTACTGTGGTCAAGACAGAAAAGCCAGGGGGAAGTTGTCTGTTCACTTTATAAATATATTTTTGTTACTTATTCTGCCTCCATTTCTTAAAGAAGGCTTGCTGCTACTTCCAAGAAATTTTATTCATTCATTAAACATGTACCTTGTCTCAGTGCTAGCAAGGCAAAGTCAGTGGCTCATATAATGTATTAACAAAATATAAAACACCCAAGATATGATTAAAACAATAACGCAATAACACTCTCCAGCAAAAACAAAACATAACAAATAACAACTGGGGGGTAAAAGAGGGTAAAAGATGGCAGCCCCATATAAATTGAATAGCCAGCCAGATGGTAATGAAGATATGAATTAGTACAGTTGATTCCTTCTGCACCAGGTGAAGGTTACAATTAGTTTGTCATTCAAGATAAGATAAAATGTCAATATAATATTAGAATCTAAAATAAAAGAGAAGACAGTCTGAAGTCTAAAATTAAATTTCTTTCAATACTAACAAAGGAATCAAAGATATAAAACATAAACATGCAAGAGCAACTACTGTATTCAAAGACTGATAAATAAGTTAAAATAAACTTAATACCTGCATTCACATATAAGCAGCTGTTTAAAAATGTATGTCTATGAATATATTTGAATTTTTAAATTTTCTAGGATTAGAAAGAAAGTAGGGTACATACACTTGCTAAGCTGTAATGTATATTATTCACCCTTGGACTGGCAAAATGTGTACTAGTCCAGGGAAATTCTGTGATGTTAATGGTGAAAATGTTAAATGCTTTAAACATTCAAAAATAAAATTCTTTTTTCAGTCTCATGTAAATTTGACCACATTCTCCAAATTAAAATTTAGAAACAATTTAATCATAAAATACTTAACATTAAAACAATGGTACTTATTTTAGGGAAACCATCAAAGACCCTCTATATAAAGTTAATATATATTTAAGTAGATTCTGGTTATAAAATCCTTTCTAGGCTCCAGGGTTGTTTAGTCTTTTCAGCTTCTGAATATATTACTCTAATTCATGCATTTCTGTATATAAAAAAACATTTTCAAATAAGTGCCCCAAAGTAGTAAAGTAACATATTCAGACATATTGCATAATTATTTGTTATGTATTTATGATAGGAAGAAGAAATCATGCAATTAACATTTTTCTTTAACTCATGAAAAATTGTGCATTGGTTAATTACGTCCTTGAGTTGAAATGAATGTTTTGAAACCAACTTTTCATTTAAGTTCATTGAAGTTGGTGGCCGATTTCCAAGATTAACATTATATTGTTTTTGATCTATACAAAAATAATCACACCCAATTCCCTTTCCCCTATTTTAGATTATAGACAAGTTGCAATAAAACTCAACTGGAAGAGTTGTGATTTATGTCAACAATACCACAGAATTGTTCAAATAGAAGTTTTGTCATTTGAGAATCAAATTCCCTGTCCTATTGTTTCTTTTTTTTCTTATTCATATCCATTTCATGTATTCATAACCATGTTTATACTTATACCTGTTATCTAATAATCACTTGACAAAATAAAAAATAAATAAATAAAAACCTTAGTTTACTCAAAACAAATCCTTCCATTATTGTTTTAGTTGTTTCCACAACAAAATTACAGTATTATCCCCCTTACAAGAAATTCATAGCCCCAAGAATTTAGATTAGCAAGTTTAATGTCATCACTTATTTTTCAGCTACCAGTGTTCCATCACCATCTGGTTCTGTCCCTGGAGCATCTGCCCCCTTTCGACCTCTCTTCAACGATTTTGGGCCCCCATCTATGGGCTACGTGCAGGTGAGCACATAAGGATGAGGGGGGTCTTGCCCATTGATGGAAATAATAGAAGAAGGATCCTGTTTTTGATTTCTGCTGTTGATCTTGCAGGCTATGAAGCCACCAGGTGCCCAAGGTTCCCAGAGCACGTATACAGATTTGCTTTCTGTAATTGAAGAGATGGGCAAAGAGATACGACCTACATACGCAGGTAGCAAGAGCGCTATGGAACGGCTGAAGCGAGGTAGGAAGCATCTTCATCATTGTACATGAGTAGTACTCATTTTTGTGCAGCTACTCAAATTTGTCATGTCAGAGCTGGCACTAGATGAAACTCTTAAGTTCCTTTTAAATTCACATGTATGTGGCTGACTTTCCCAGAAGTTCTGCAAACTTACCTCCTCTCAAATACAATGTTGTGCAATGATTAATAGATGCCTGTTGTGGCAATTTCCAATTAACTCTTCCAAGTCATGACTTTTGAGTTTGTAATTGAAAGTTGGTTTAGTTCTAGTCTTGCTAAGGAAAGAATGAAAAGAACTCCCTAACCCTAAGGCCAGAACTCTCAGTATTTCAAGCCAAATCAGTTCTCACTAGTGCAAATAGCTGTGCCACAGTACGAACAGGTAAAACCTGCTAGATTAGAATCTATACCCAGCAGGTATAAACCTAGCTTGTAGGGAAACGTTGATTTGTTTCTGCAAGACAGCTGTACATCAGTTCCTTATGTTGTGTACTGCATTGCTACCAGTTAGTGCCTTGTACTTTTTGATTTATTTAAATCCACATATCTGCATTTTACCTTATATCTTCTTGATTGATCTTGAATTGATAGGGTGTATATATAAATGTTTTATGTGGAAGATGCTACAGTTGCAAATTCTGTCACATACTTTGTGCTTTGTGTTGCTACTTTGGAATCCATTATTCAGCATGTCTTACTTTTGGGACTTTCTTTCTGCAGGCATTATTCATGCCCGGGCGCTAGTAAGAGAATGTCTGGCAGAGACAGAGCGCAATGCCCGTACGTAACACTCGCTTCCTCCTGGCACCGCCCTTGGAGGATCCTAGCACTTTCCAGCTAATCAACATTTTAGAATCTGGAGTTTTCCCCTTCCTTTCAAATCTTTCTACCAATCAGTGTCTCAAGTCTTAGAACTGTGATCGCCTTCAAAGACCTTTATACCAACTGGCACCTAAGAATCTGAAGCATCTCCACTTGTATCACAGAACTTCCTGTCAATTAGCATTCTGGGGGTATATACACAAAGCGTTCATTGTGCATATCCTTGGTTTACTAGTCGAAATAATTGCTCGTGACAAGTTCTATATCTTTATAAAATACATGGGGTTTTTGAATAAATAAAAATCTTTAGAATTTGGATTATCTCTTCACTGTGCTTTTCTATATTTTTTTTATGTAGTGAGGGAAATATTCTCTACCTCACTAAAATATTCCTGAAGGGCATGTATTGCAAGATATGCTTCCTTAGTAAAGCAGTATGAAGCCCTCTCTTCCTCTTGCAACAAGAGTCTCAACCAGCGATCACTGAGCCTGTATTGGAAAACTTGTAATAAAATGTTTCTACTCCTATATGACTTGTTTTTGCTGTTATTGTGTCAATGTCAGGAGTTCAGTACACCTATGTTAATATTTTATTTCTAAACCTTTTTTCCTCAATAAACAGAAACCAGACTAGGTTTCTGCTGCTTTCCATTCTCATTGGGGTGAGAGGCTTTCATGAAATAGTTTCATCTACTTGAAATTGGATTTTTATTTCTAAATAAGTATTTCTATACCCCTTCAGCCATTCAGATCTATATGGCCTTACAAGGAGCACACAAATTGCTAATGCAATAGTCAGTAGAAAATACCCTGTGTTGATTATTTTGTATATTATAACCATTGTGAAACAGCATCATCTATCTCAAGCATATTTCTGGCTTACTTGGCTCTCAAATACACTTTGAAAATGGCACGTTTTGCAAAGCTATCTAAAATGGGTTGCCAACCTTTTGGACCTCAGGGACCACCAAACTCATAATTTTAAATCCCACAGACCACTAATATGAATTTTGACTGACGGTGGCTTGCTGACGTTGGTGGGAAAGTCAGTCCCATATTCCAGAGCTGCAGCAGTCACAGGATTGGCCCTTTGGTCATCCCGGAGCAGCTGTTCCTCCACTGGGGTGCACCGGCCTGCCATGCACTGGGATGACCAAAGGGCCATCCTGTGACTATTGCAGCTCTGGAATATGGGACTGACTTTCCCACCAATGTCAGCAAGCCACCCTGGGGCGGATTTCCTTCCCCCGCCATTGGTCTTACCTTACAGTTCCAGCTTGCATGGCTCTACTCAAGGTAAGGTTTGTGCTCGGCTGAAGGGTGGGGGCCAGCAGGTGGGCGGGGCATGTGGATGGGGCGACCTTGTGTTCCCACACAGCCTGGATTGCTTTGGGAGGAGTGCTTTGGGGGGGACATTTCTCTGCAGACCACCAAAATTTTCTCAGGGACCACCAGTGGTCCCTGGCCCACCGGTTGGTGACCACTGATCTAAAATATCAGGAATGATGATACAGCTCTTTTATTACTGATGATACCATACTCCACAGCAAAGGAGCTCCAGTAAAAATGCTTGCCCCAGTTCCCCTCTTACCTCATCTTACTGGAGGTGAGGACTCTTGAGTACGCACTCCGCCAGCCTGACTTGGACATCCAGATTTTGCTTGAATATATGGTGTTGCAGATAATCAGGCTCCAAGCTAATTAGTTTATATGTGGAGAGAATTTCAGTAGTCCAAATAGGAATTGACATTGACCTGAGCATGCAATGACCTAGCTATGTCTCCTGGTACAGTCACAGCCAGGCAAAATATCTCCAAGGCACAATTTTTACTTGTATCAACAGGAATTGTGAATCCAGGAGAAAACCCAGAGTAAACCAGTTCTTCCTCCAGCAACTATAAATATGCTTGGCTTATGAACTGGGAACTACCCAGCTTTTACTCAGAATAATGTCTTGGTGCCCAGAGAGAGGGTATTAGTTGTAAGGAGGCCTAATATTAATAGTGAAGTATGGAGCAATAAAATTCAGTAGTGCCTTCTACAAAATGTCTAGAAAGGATGCCTTATGGAAGGATACAATAGAATACAAGGGTGATTAAACCTTCCCTTTTTCCTGTTTCCTTTTTTAGAAAAAGGATAGTTTAAGATGGTTGAAAAATAATATAATTTGTAAAGAAGAGTAGTCCCAGGATAAAGAACTTCTTTTAACTATTGTTGAGATAAAAAGTATATGTCTTCAGATGTAAAATGTACTTCAGCCTTTAACTGCTACAACTCTGCAATCATACAGTATTATTTAACTGTCCTACTAAAACTAAATGGAGGGGGAGATAATGATTGCTGTATGGCCTAAAATATTGTCTTTTTGCAAAAAACCTAAGTTGATTTATCACATGACCTGACTTAATTTTATGGCTATTTTTACACTATTCACCAGAATTGTTAAGCAACTCATCATTAAGTGAATAATATGGTTGAAGTCAGAATCCAGTTTATCAAATGGGTGTTTTCTGCTGGAAAATGGCAAAAGAATTGCAAAATATGATCCCATAACCATTGGATGCTGCAACTGGATATAAATACAAGCCAGTTGCAAAGTGACCAAAATGCAGTCATGTGACTGGGAGGATGGTGCAGCAATTCTACAAGGATGGTTCAGGTTAACTTTTTGAGTCCAACCTAACTTTGAACAGTTGTTAAGCTACCTGTCATAAATCAAGGGCTACCTGAAAATGTAACAAAATATACAGCTCCTCTCTGAGGGGGATGAGCGGTTAAGAAATATGAAATATAAACAAATAAAATATAAAGCCCCCCACGGCATTCCACAAGCTAAAAATATAGAACTGCAAATCATCTTTTTGTCAGCAGATCTTATGAATAAAGCAGGTATCAGTTGAATATCACAGGAAATAGATTTACCCCACAAATACCTCTAAATCTGAAATGTATTAATTTGTAAGTTTTTATTTTTGGAAGGTGTTCTGTGAAATGTCCCCATAATTAATTGTTAGTTTGGCAGCTTAAATATGAGATTCAAAGCCAGAAAAACCAATGGGTTTGTTCTAAAGAACAGTTGCTTTATACAGATGTATGAACTAAACCAGGGGTGGGATTCAAATTTAACAACCGGTTCTGTGGGTGTGGCTTAGTTGGTGGGTGTGGCTTAGTGGTCATGTGACTGGGTGAACATGGCTTGGTGGTCATGTTACCGGTTGGGCGTGGCCAAATCAACATCACTCAAATCGAGGCATGTATCTCCTTGCCTGGCCTCTTGTGACTGTGAGGATGCTGCAACAGTTGTAAGTGTGAAAAATGGTCATAAGTCACTTTTTTCAATGGTCATTCCACACAAGCAAAGTACCAGCAAAGGAGGGGAAAAAAACTCCAGAGATGTTCCTGAGTGGAAGTCTAGTCCTGCCAAGAATGTAATAAGAATTAACGGAGAGGCAGTTTCTGTAAGCAACACCAGAATGTTTCCTTCCTGCCTTCCTTACAGGATTAGGCCAGTAATTTCTTCTAACAACCGGTTCTCTGAACTGCTTAGAATGTTAACAACCGGTTCTAGCGAATAGGTGCGAGCCTGTAGAATCCC